GATGCACAGAGCACGGGGGATGCACAGAGCACGGGGGATGCACAGAGCACGGGGGATGCACAGAGCATGGAGGATGCACCTAAGGATGCACACAGCCTCTTCTCTACTGAGCCAGAACCCATAGTGACTACAGTGGTCTTAAAAAAGGAACACACTTGGCTAGTTTCAAGATGACAGAGAAAGGAAAAGATGAGTTTAATGTAGATTAAGTTATAGTAATTAATGCTCATATCATTTACTATGTATTCATACTTCTATTTATCTCATACTTTATTAATAGTTTAACAGTTCAGGTCTTAATGCTGAAATCTTATTTGAATGAACAAGGTATATAAATACCTAATATTAAGGGGAGAGATGGCTGCAGACATTTGTAGAACAAAGAGACATATTCGAAGGCCTCTGACCAGGCCTAACCGAAAGCTGGTTTGGACAGATGGCCAAGGAGAAAAGTCGTTTTACGTATGAGAGAGATGGAAAATCCATCCGGAAAGCTGGGGATTAGAGAGAACCAGCTTTTGATAGACAACTGTCAGCAAACTGGAGGACAGAGTAATTTTAGGGTTAAACAGCAGGAAACTTAATTAGAGGTTTTGAAATATGACTCAGAACAGTAATACAAAGCCCTGTGAATGTTCATGCCTAAAACTACCCACTGCTCCTCACTGTCATCCAAGCGTCATCTGAGCTAAGCAGAATTACAACTATAGTGATGCTTGGAGCTCTGCAGAGTTCTTAAGCACGGCGGTATGCTTCCTCCTGGTGAAAGAGGGTGGAACAGGGGCTTGTGCTTACAGCCCTGACTATGTAGGCACTAAATGTGTTCCTTTTCGAGTTTGTCTTATACGGTCTGGAAAAGAAATGTCAATTTACAGATGAGACGCAGTCATACCACTTGCGTGTATTCTATCATCTCGAGATATTTTGAAGTCAAGAGAAGGGAAAGGGAGAAAGAAAGAGAGGAGCAGGAGGAAAGCCAGCAAAAAATCATGCTCAGCATACAACAGAGGCTTGCAAAATGCAGACGGTGGACGCTACCTGTGCTCACCACAAAAATGGTAACTGAGGGGTAACACATTTGTTTAGGAGCTAGATTCAACCATCCCCTTTAAAACAGCAAGGGGTGCCCAACACAAACATTCAATGATCTGTCCATTTAAATAGCTAAATACCTAAATAAATGCCAACCCCCAAAAAAGCCAAACTGATGATCAGCTTTCTGCACATC